AACTTTTTACTAGATACAGGTAAGAGTAGGGGGATATGTTAGTGTATGTAAATTACTGGACATTCATGATGACCAGTAAGTTGAATATGGACTCAACTCCTTCACAGGAAAAAAAACTTATATTGTTCATGGTTGACAGATAATTGTCACTCTAAATTATTATTAATATATTATCATCTATGAGAAGATGATGAGAATGATGATAATCTAAGAATATTTTAATTTTCTCCTTGATTATCACAATCGTTTCGACCTGAAAATCAGGTAAATTACAGTTTTTTACTTTGTCCAGTTTTTTTTTTCATTACTTTTAGTTTACCTGTTTGGTTATTTACAGAAAAAAATGTAAATTTTAATTGTTATTATCTCTCATTTCCTTATGAGCTGATTAGTATTTTAAATTGGTAAGAATGATTATTTTTAATTGTGATTATCATGATTACTTTAATAATGGTGATAATGATTAAGGTGATGGTCAGTTATCATTTTTGGAAAAGGTAACATGTAATTGATGATGAATTTTTTGTCTCATGATATTTTCAAAAATTCATCATGAAAAAGGTTTCATTGTCTTGTGAACTGATTTTTTTTACTTATCTGATGATGATGATGACCAACAGATGACCAGTTAGGTGATGATTATGATGATGATTAGTCTGATGGTGATAATAATTAAGGGTAAAGTTGGAAATGTTTGTTATCTTGATGATGTGAATGACAAGTTAACTCTCGGGAATCTATTGGAAGAGAGAGAGAGAGAGAGAGAATCTTTATCTTCATTTCTCATCGTTATCATCTTATTTGTACCTTTGGCTTTCATCCCAAATATCATCATGAACTTTAATCGGAAATCTCAGAATCTGAAACTAAATGTGACAAGAATCCAATAAACTAATTGGTTTACCTGTTGCTTAGAGTATTTTTTGTTTCCTTTCTGGAAGCAAATCCAACTGACCAGTAGCCAGTAAAAGTAAATAGAGAAAAATTTTTCCAAAGATGAATGAAAAAAAATAAGATCAAAATGAAACGTTAATCATTGAGGATGATTGTTATCATCCCTCATCATCATCATCATCATGATAAAATTACAAACTACAATCAGCTACTGTTTGGAAACGGTAGCAATAGTTAAAATATTTCATCTCATTGATTGAGAATCTAGAGAGAGAGAGAGAGAGAGAGAGAGAGAGAGAGAGAGAGAGTAAATTAAATGCTTCTCATCATCTTTAGCTTCATCTCCCTTTTACTTAACCTCTCATTAAATGATGATGAAGAAAAGCCGAGAATCAATTGCAGGTCAATTTTGTCATCACAGAAAAAGAAGAAGAAGAAGATGAAAAAACCTTGACCACCTTCGGAAAGGATAACATGATGATAGGTTTTAAATTACCTGATGAAGAAGATGAAAGACTTTTCTTCATCTTCTCTCCATCCTTATCATCATCATCTTCATCATTATCATCATCTTTTACACTGATACAAACAACAACAACAACATTGTTATATTTCACACATTGACCAATAAATAGGTTTCATCATTGACCAGATAATGATAATTATATCATTTTAAAAGTTATCATTAACCAGTAGCTGTGATGTTACTAAATAGTTTACCTGAGACCATGATGAATACCTGTTGACCTCGAAGGGCGCTTTTCGACCTTCGTTGTGGGTCGAAATAATAATAACCCAATAGGGTGAGAGAGAGAGAGAGAGAGAAAGGTCAAAAGTCTATGATGAAAAGCGTCAGAATTTTTTTCCCAATTTCGAAAGTGAAAAAAAATCAATCCACTGACTAGTAATTTCCTTCATCATTGAAACTTTTTTTCACACAGGTAACAAATTTCCCTCTCTCACTAACTATCACCAATAATACTAATCATCATTACCATCATCAAATGATAATAATTGATTATCTCGTGTAAAGTGTTCATTGAATCGTAGTACTAATGAAAACGTGATTTGATTACAATCAAACTTTAATTGATTGGATAATTTATCTTTAATTGTTACCTTGAGAGAGATAAACAAAAATTGGACAATTTCAATAAGAAGAGAGGGAAAAAAAGTTTACTTTGAATGCAATTAAATGGACAATTAAAAACAATTTTTCTCCACAATTAATAATTAGCAATATGTAGATAAACCATTGGCTTTATAATCAATAATTGTTGTTGATTGAAGGGAAGATGATGATGATGATGATGATGATTAGCATTGGATGTCGAGAGAAGGTCATAATTAGTAAAATTAATAATAAATTGCAATTGATAATGAACAATGAATGAAAAAAAAAATAGTAATCGTAATGATGATGAAAAACCTTCTTGATCATTTTAATGGGAAAGAAAAAGTCAATGATAATATTACATTATTAGCATTGTTATTAATGAGATACAAGGACATTGAGATCATTAGAGTAGCATCATCTTTTTTGAGAGAGTGGGTTTTTGTAGGAGGAGGAGAGGAGGTGGAGGAGGAAAAACGTACTAGGGAAGATATGAAAATATCATAGAGAGAAAAGTAGAAAGACAAAAGGAAGTGAATTGTTATTGTCTTTTTCTTTGTTAACATCAAGGGAAGAAGATTCAACTTTAAACTCGGTGGAAAAGGTAAAGGAGCGCAGAGAGAGAGAGAGAGAGAGAGAGAGGAAGAAGATGATGATGATGATTAACAAGCAGATAGTTAACTACGGAAATGGTAATCGGAAGCAATTTCGTTCGCGAGCTTGAGCTTTACCTGGAGCTTTTTTCTTATTCTTTGCTGCTTTATTTATCTCGCTACGTTTCGTTGCATCTTCTTTATCATCTCTCTCTCTCTCTCTCTCATCTTCTCATGTTGTCTGTCACAGAGGGAATACCTCCTTTCTCATCATTAGCTAAATCTCACCTTAAAGTTTACAAGTAGTTACCTTTGGTCAACCTGTTTGCACCTTATGTCCATTCACACCAAAATTTTCACTATTTTATCACAAACTTTCAATTAAACAATTTATTAACCTTCTTAGTTTCTAGTAATTTAATTGTTACATCAATAGTTAATTGTATTAATACATAAATTGATAGGAATACTTTTCCATCAGCTGATTATGTTACTATGACTTAATACTTTTTCAATTTTGCTTTTCGATACCGATGTTTGCAAGTAAACACCACAAAAGCTATCAACTTCTTCAAGGTGATCATTATCAATGTAAAATGATGATGGTGCTTAATAATGATGGAAAAAGACATAGAGAAAAGTTAAAGAGAGAGAAAAAAATGAATGGAAAAAAGTTCGCTTGAAAATCTTTGGTGTGATATGAGAGTAAGAGCTTTTTTATACTAATACTTAAAGTGAACATCTTGATGATGTAAGAGAAGAAAAAAAATAAGATGATGAGTAACACAGGTAGCAAAAAGTTACTCTCAAAACTAGTTAGCTCAATAATTTACCTGAGGGAAGAGGAAAATTTTTCGATTTTTTATTGTCTGAGAGAGAGAGAAAGAGAGAGAGAGAGAGCTAAGAGGGGAAGGGAAGATCAATCAACTTGTCTTAGAGAGATGATGATGAAGATGATACAATACATTCCGTTGTATGTACACATCATGTTCAGTTTTATGAATGAAAAAAAAGTTCTAAGAGAGAGTAAAATCAAGATGATAAAGGAGAGAGTGAGAGAGAAAGCATCAAGTTAGGTCAAAGGTTCTCTCTCTCTCTTCCAAAGAAGATGGTGATAATGATGATGATGGAAAAGTCAATAGAATTTACCTGGAAAATAAAAAAAAAAAATTCTTTCCAAAAGTTTTTTTTTCTCTCTTACCTTTGATTTTTTTACGTTTCTCTTCATTCATTTCAAGGGTGGAAAACAAAAATACTATGTTATTATTATCATGTTACTGTTTACACCTTTGTAAAAATGTTGTGAATGAACATTTTCACTTAGAACTTTTTTCTTACCTTTTCTTTCATCATCTTTTTATCATCTTCATCTTTTCTCCTAAGACATTCATTGATTTCCTCCCGAAACGATATCAACTCTCGATGAACAAAAAAAAGAAAACAGAGTAACTTTCAATTCTAAATAAAGTTTCTTTCATCTTCTTTTATCATCATTATCATCATCATTTCTCTCTCTCTCACTTGTCTTTTTCGAAAAGGTCCAAAGTTTCTTCTTCTTCATCATTACCTTTCTTTTTCTCTTTCTTTTGTTATCTTCTAAAGGAAATGTCGTCTTTTTGTTTCTTCCTCTTCTTCTATTTCATTATCTTCACTTTTCATTCATAAACTTCAAGGTAGAGTTTATCATCTTTATCATCATCATCATCTCATTATCTTCATCTATCTATCATCTTATACCTTCCGTCTCTCACCAGGTAATCCAAAAGAGGAAAGAGGCAGATTTTTAAGACGATTGAAAAGATGAATGAAGAGAAAAATAATCAAGCTCTTAATCATCATTATCTTCATCATTCTGATGAAATAATTCTCATCTTTTTTTTGGAAGAAAATTTTCTTTTCTCTCTTATTTTTTTTCTTCTTCTTCTTCTATTCTTTCAAAACTTTTTTTTCTCAATCATCTTCAGAGAGACAACTCCCTTTTTCTTATATCATCTTCTCCATGTAATAAACATGAGACATAATGAGAAACCAGTGATGAAGAAAAGAGGAAAAACATTGTAAGAATTGATGAAGAAAATACGAAGTAAAAAAACTAATTCTTCATGAATGGAATACAAAAAGATGAACCTAATCCTTATCCTCATCTCTTTAATCATCAAATGATCACAATTGAGATTGTAAATCTTTAACCAGAAAAAAGGAGAGACACAATCAAAGTAAACAAATTGAATTTCAATGTTAACCCTTAATCCAAACAAAAAGGTTCCAGTTAATTGTTGTTGATGTTAACCCTTTTAAACTTTCAAATGTGTAAACGTAACAATCATAATAATCAGAAACAATTAACAATCAATTTTTTTCTTCCCCATCTCTTCAATTATCATCAATGATAATCACAGATAATCGAGGAGATCCCAATGGAGACTATTATTACTGTGAGGCAGAACCAGAAAGTTCAACCAAAAACTCAAAAGGTCAGAATTAATCTTAATCATCAACGATAATCTTTCCCCTCACCCTTGTCGTTAATCCTTTAATCCAATTACCTACTAATAATGATAATCTACAACCAACCGATCAATCAATCAATCAATCAATCAATTGAAACCTCATCCAAATGAATCAGGAAAAACAAAAAGCTAATCAAAACTTTTACTGTTCATCTAAATCCAATTGCAATCAAATTAATTTATTCAACATTTACTATTATATATTTATAGAGATAGCAAACTAGAGTCTATCAAGTTGATTAACAATTATAATTATCATGAAGATAATGATGATTAAGCTAATCTAATATTATGAATAATCGATGAGGAGCAATTAACCAGGAAGAGAGAGAGTAAGTGACCAGAGGGGGTAAAGGTAACTGAGAGAGGGAGAGTGTCCAGTGGTTACCACCACCACCCACAAGATTTAAAACAAATGATAATTGAGTGAAAAAAACAACAAATATCCAATTGGAAGATAATGAAGAGAAAAAGAAGAAAAAAATAAAAAAAATTATTCTAATTATCTTGAGCTTTTTATTCAGATAATCATGATAATCATCATCATTTTTAAACATGAGATGAATTAATTTCAATGGAAAATCATTTCCACTTCCCCCTTTTGACCATCACCATGGTTACGATTAAAGTTATTACTTAATAAAGTGACCATTCATATATATATATTGATAATAATAATAATAATATTCAACTCTTGGTGATATTAATGATTATTCATTAATAGTAATAATATATTTTTATTTACTCCCAATATCATAACAATAAACAAAACGTGAGTTAATTGTTATTAGTTTAATTTGATAATATTTCTCATTAGTTTGCAAATAAATAATCAAAAGGTTTATTATTCAATTCCATAATCAGTTACTCTGATTACAGAATCTGAATCTATCGGTTTGTTAATATTACATGTAGACAGAAATAATAATAATAATAATACTTGGATAACTAATGATGATGATCAATAGAAATGCCATTTAATTAGCTTACCTCTTGGTGATTTAATCAATTCAATTTGATTTCAAATTCAACCTGAGTTTTCAAAGTTATCATGAATTTTCAGCTTTCTCCTGATATTATACAAAATTCAATCTTCTGGTTAGACAAATATCATATATCATGATAACAGTTTGTTTCTTTTTTTGGGTCACCCTATTCATGGTTCATAAAGTATATATACTCAGAGAAAGAGATAGAGACACTTATCATCCTGATTATCATGATGATAATTTGATTTGGGCTGAATAATGATGATAATCTTGAAATAGCTTCCGTCTCATCTTCATGATTATTATCATCATCTTAATGATGATGATGATGAAAAAAAGGTTTCAACTTATATTTATAAAGATTATCAATATTATCATCATCATGTTAATGTTTATTTGTATCATCATGAAGATGAGGATGAAAAAGAAAAGGTGAAAAGTATCATTACTCATTTTTTTCATCATGTTCATCATTTTATCATGATGATTGTGGTGATAATCATCATGAAAACTCAGTTGTTTATATTAATAGTTGATAAAAAAAAAGTTTCCATGATAAAGTTTACAAACTGTTCAACTGAGTTTCAGGTTTCATTGTCAAGTGATTTATTTTTCATCTTGCTCATCATTATCTTCATCATGAATTCTGAAAGCTGAATTACCAGAATCATCAGAAAAATAATAATAAAAAGTTATTAACTTTAGACTCTTGATAATATCAACAACTTTTGATGAGGAAGTTTTATTTTTTCATCTTAATTTTTTGTGTACAACTTTAAATGATGATTATTATTATCTTGATCCTCTTCATGAAGATGAAGATGATCATCTTCATGGTATTTGATATGAATTCAAATTCTGTGGATGAAAAGATTTAATAAATAAGATAAGTTGTAAGCCCGCGAAAAGTTAAAACTCATAGGGAAACTTTTTCTCCTTCCATAGATTATCATTAGACCTTATCAAATGTCTTTTGATATTTTTAAGTTAATTATCATCATAATTAGTGGATTTAATCATCATAATTGTGACTAATTATCCTGAATGGTGATGAAATCAAGAAATTCCGTCTCAATCTCTCATGGAATTGGGTTCAACTATTTCCGTTCCAAATGTTACCAGAAAATTTTATACAATTTCACCATTAATATCATAGTGATTAAGGTTAGCAAATTATGATGAATTAATTCATTGTTCAGATTTAATTTCATGTAAATAAATGAAAAAAAAAATTGAAACTCACAACTTCCCATGTTATATGAATTCATTTCTAATCTCTGAAAAGAATCAGAAATTTCATCATCATGTGTTGATGAGATGATTTAGTTAGTTGTCTAGATGAATTCGAAGCCAAATTTTCATAATAATCAACAATTCAATTAATCACCAGATAAATTGGATCGAAAAAAGCAAATGATGAATATTAAATTTCACTCTCAGGGTAATAAAAAATTTCTTATAAAAATGATCATTAGAATAGTTTAATTCTCATCATGAGAAATCAACAATTTACACTAACCTAGTTAATCGATTGATCAAGTTCTAAGAACGAAAAGAAAAACAAGTTCGATACAATCGAATAGTTAGTTCACAATGGAAACACTCGAGGTCACCAGTAAACTTAAACTCGAAGAAGAATAAGAACAAAAATAGAACTCGAGAAATCGAGAAACATAGAGAGCAGAAAAAAAAGTTCTAATACTCAGAATTTTTGGTTCTCATTGATTTTCCATTGTTCATGGTGATCCACATTTACCATCATGTAAATATTTATCGAACACCATTTGAATTTAGAATTGAATTTTTGATCATTTTCTCAAAGTTGAAAGATAAACAATCAACACAATTAAAGATAATCATTAATCTTAATGGTGATAACAATGTTGTCTATTATTATTACAAATCAATTTCTGTATTTACCTTTCCATTGTTATAATAACGGATAACAATTAGATAACCATAATGATGTATATCAATTTAGATTGTATATTGTTACCTTGTTATCAACATGATGATAAACATCATTATTTTTAAATCATCAATTGATTGTTATTTAGTAAAAACCTCTGGATCCATGACAATCAGTTGTAAATGTATTAACATGCACGCACTTTTTTCATTAAGACAAATTTTTACCTGTGTAATAAATTTTTCCAGGTAAATGGTAATAATAATAATAGTAAGAATATAATATAATCCAATGAATGGATTTCCATTAATCTCCAAAGGTATCATCTTGATAATCTGATGATGATGATAATGATTAGGGATGAAATTGATTTAAACCATTTCAACATGCAAAAGTCAATGAGAAATTATTTTCTCACCTTTCATGTTATTTTATATTTGGTTCATCTTAATTGTGATTTAAATTGTTGTTGTTGTTGTGATGATTGTTGTAATATCTTATATACTATTTGATTGCTTACACCTCAATTGATTGATTGATCGTAATTATCATTGATGATGATGATGATGATGATGATGTTAATTGTGTAACTGCAAATTGTTGTAACTTTTCAAATGATTTACCTTGTATTTGATTGTAAACCTTTGTGATTAGTTAATTTATCAGGTAATTATATTTAGTGTGTTCTTTTCATTTTTATCAATGAAAATGTTTTGATTGGTTTATTGATGAACATGATTATGAAAAGATGAGGAAGAAGATGAAAAATCATCAGACATTTAATCAATAGTAAATTACATGTTAACTTTTTGATTATTTCATCACATCAACAAAAATCAACACAGAAAAATATTTTCATCATTTTCAACTATTCAATTGATGAAGATAAGGATTATAATGATAATGATGATGATGTTGATGAGGATGATGATGATGATAAAGATGAAAGCTTAATCATTGATAAAAGAATTTTTTTTTCATCTTCTCTTCTTTTGCATCTTTTCAAATCATCCAATGTTATTATTATCATCTTCATCATCTTCTATCATCATGATTACCATTTATATCAACTGCCAAATTAGCCGATTGATGTTGTTGATTGTTGATTGAATAATCAGCTAATTTAACCTGTCAACAAATTGCTATTAACAAGGTTAACATAACTTATTTGTCATTAGTTATTGATTTTAGTTAAATTGTAACAATTTAAGGAGAGAGAAATATCAAAATTTTGAGCAATTAACTTAAAAGCAAGTTAGTTAATTAGTTTGTATGATTGTCACAATTGTTGTCGGACAACAACAATTAGTTTTAATTTGATAAGACAAGAGAGAGACAAAAACAATCATTGAATTGTAACAATATAAAGGTAAACATTCAAAGTAATTAAGTGACAATCAAGAAAATAGTGTCAAGTTGTAAGGGAAAAAATTGCAAATAATTTAAATCATAATGATAATCATAATTGTTACTATTATTCAACATGATATAACATAAGAAAAAAAAAATGGTCAAACATTGAGAGGGACCATTGGTCAAGCGATTCAAATTACTTTGACTTTAAACATCTCATTCTGCCTTCATCTTCCTCATCATATTTAATTCAATGGTCATCATCATCTTTACGGCCAATGAATACACCGTTATGTAAACACTAACTAATACTCACACTTGATGATGACCTTATTAAGGTAACAATGATAATGATAACCTAATATGTAATCTGATATTTAGCTCGAGGGTAAAAGTCAATGAAGCTCAGAAAGGTAAGGGAGATGGAAGACAAACTGTATCACTCACTCAACCGAATACTTTACTCTCTCTCTCTTTCTCTCTCATTGATTTTTTACATGGTATTGATATCGATGGTAAATCGAACTGATTTACAAGTGAAAAATTTGATCTTCAGTCAATTGAGCATCAGGAATCTTATTTTACTTATGAATGAATAGTAAGATGAAGATGGAAATTGATGGAAAGGATGAAAACCAGAGGAAAATGAGACAGGAAAGAAAGAGAGAGAGAAAGAAGATACAAAAGTCCCACCAGTCGAAATGAAAAGTTAACTGGTCATGCATTGGTAGTGTTCCATAGAGTGGATTCAGTGGAAGTGGGGTTTCCATGTTCATAGCGGTTTTTTTCTTACTCAGAATTTGCTCCTGGTTCCATGGTAGAAACTGACTACTTCTTGGTTTAGGGCCAATACAGCGAGAAGAATCAGTTTTATTTTTGGAAACCATTTCAACCTGAATTCGTATTAATTTACATTGTTTATCATCAATTTCCTCCTCCACCTCCCTCCTGATTCACCCACTTCGACCCTGTTCAGTTGATCACATTTCAATTCTGTGTCAATGAGATACAATCTTTTGTCCTTCAAGTGGACATTATCAATTCTTAAAAATTAGTTCAGAATAACAGGAACCCAAGTAATTTCCGTTTCCTCTGTGTTCAAATTTTATCACTTATAATTAGCTAATTCGGATCATCATCACTCAATAGTTGAGTCTCAAATTACTCGTTCAATTTTTTTTTTCGGTGCAACAATAGTTTTTCTTGTTTTAGATTTTACAATTAACTGTACTTTTGTATAATATGATTACTGTCCAGTTCGAGTGGTCTCATTGAAGTGTCAATAGTGAGACATTGAAATATCAATTTCCATGGTAAGATTATCTAAATGAGGGAAAAGTTATTTTTCTGAACAATCATGTGATTGGATTGATATGCACAGGAAATGTTGATGTAGATGATTGAATAGTCATCATTGATTATCTTGTAGTTTATCATCCTCATCATCGTCATCATCATAAACTACAAGATGATAAACTATGAAAATACATTGTACTCAATTTTGAGAGTGTGGAGGAAAGAGCAACAGTAAAAGTCCACCTCAAATTGATGAGATCTCCACAACAAAGAAAGTTATTTCTCTCTCTCTCTCTCTCTCTCTCTCTCTCTCTCTCTCTCAGTATCATCTTCATCCTCATCTTGATGATGACTCTATTTAACTTCCATTGTACGATTCGACTTTTTTCTTTGCTAACTTCCACTCGAAGAGGGAGAAACTTTGTCTTCAAACTTTACCTTTACAATGAACAACACAAACATATGCAAGGCACACACATAAACACACAGAGACTTTACCATAGACATTGAATGTCACAGCAGAAGCATAAGAAAAAAAAGAGACTCTTTTTTTGTATTGTTACTGCTCTTCCCTCATCATCATCATCATCATCTTGCTCTCTTTCTTTTTCTCTTTCACTCTTTCTTTCCTTCGAAACATTGTAATACACATAGAGAAAGCAAAGAGAGAGAGAGAGAGGAAAATGATGATGATGAGAGAGAGAAAAAAGAATCCAATGTTGGATATAATGTATCTTTTTTCTTCTGCTTGTAAAATGTTGCCTTCGATCCTTTTATAAGCTCATTCAACGCTTATTATTATGATATTATTACCATAGGCACTATTATTATTGTTATTACTCTTGCTTCCTATTGACAATGAGAGAGAGAGACTAGTATATTATATCTCTAGTCAATTCTGACGTTGACTTTTTCAGGCCATTCTTTTACTTCGAGCTGTCAGTGTTTCATTGTGAAGAAAAGATCAGAAAAAATAATAATATCATCGCTACTACACTTTAAATACTTTACGTTTATTCATCATAATGTTATAACTTAACAACTCATATAATGTATTTTCTATTCATCTTTTGTCACTGGTTAGAACTCGATGTTGAACAATTTAGTTGTAACATTTTTCTTAATTTCATTTTCCTTGTTAACCAATATTCGATTTTTGTTCATCACGTTTTATAACACTTTCCATTTGAATATCAATGAATGAATCTAATGATGATGATGATGATGATGGTGGTGGTGGTGATGTGCATCGTGTTGTTGGTTTGGATGTTGATTAGGAATGATAATAATTTTGACTTATACCCTTGATCCTTGGTAATGACAGTTTCAATCTAACGGAAGACTGGGAATCTTTTGGAGCGGGTGAATGAATAGTTTGATAGTGGGAGAGGAAGAGGGTGTTTAGGTGAGTGGATATGAAGTGAAAGTGTCTGGATAACGGTTTATGATACCACAAGATGGCGAAGTTAATGCCAAGATGATATAAATTGGAATCATGTCAATGAAAATCTCCTTTAATTTCACGCTTAACATATCATCTTTATCTTTTATCTTCATCATCTTTATCGTCTTAGTAGCATCATCATCATCATCATCAAGAGGGTGGGTGAATGGAGAGAGTGAGGGTGGTAAAAAATGATAACCAATGTTACGAACTAATTTTACGGATATTTTACCGAGGAAAAAATTATTCCTCTCATTTTTTTGCTTCTTTCGAGAGATGATCCTAATTATGATGAAGATGAAGATGAAGATAATAATCTCTCTCTCTCTTTCTCTGAATTTCATGATGGAAATTGTGAAGGAAAGAGTAGGAAGATGTTTAGAAGAAGAAAAAAGTAAGTGGATAAAAAGGAGAAGATGAAGAAAGAAGAGTAAAAGAAGGAGGGATCTAAATGATGAGGAGGTTCTTCTTCTCATAGATGATGAGGATGACGAGAAGATGATGATGCTAAGACTCTCGAATATACCAAAAGTCTTCTCTCTCTCTCTCTCTCTTTTGCTCTTTTTTTTATATCCATAATTTTCGAACTCATTTTTTCGCTCGTTTTCTAGTTCTAACCAAGTCGAAAGTACGATAACAACACTAACCATTAGTACACACGAACAGTCAACAATTTAATCAGTGTATTTAATATTCACAATTAGTTAATCATCTTCATAATCATTTCCATAAGGTTTCCAATTGTTTAATATTCTTGATGTCAAATTTTTCAATTGTTTGTTTACCCAAATGGATTATCAAGTGTTGGCCTTAAAATTAAATCTTCAATTTTGATTATCGTTTATTGTTGTTGACAATTAATTTTGATGATGAAAAAATTTTCGACATCATCTTAATCGTGTGGTTCAAATGTGCATCATTTGTTGACAGTTATAACTGTTTCTCTGCAATTTAAAGTGTCAACTCTTGATTAACAGTTTTAATTGTGTGTTACAAATACAAATTGATTATTGATTATCATTCAGGATCAAAAGGATTTTAAGTTGATTTGTTGAAGAATCAACGATTTACCTTTTAATCCTTTTCCTTATATAATTAATCCAATGATGGATTTAACAACAGCTTACAGATACAATGCCTCCATGATGGAGTATTATTCATGTCAAAGTGAGTTTATCATGTGAAAATCATCATCATCATCATCAATTGGCATCATCATTTTACCTCATCCTTTAACTTGTTGTCACTCACAATTGAAATGTGAAACCATTTTGAAATTTAATCATTACAATTGAGATTAACATTAATCTGACAATCGGATTTCATAATATCATTGCATGATTATCACCTAGACACATACACACTCACACTAATTAAGACACATAATCATAATTATTAATATCTATGTTCAATTTTCTAATAATGATAAGTTTTTTTCTCTCTTTCAATCAATTTGATGATATTTTCTAGGTCATGGAGGAGTAAATCAATTGGGTGGAGTGTTTGTCAATGGGCGACCATTACCTGATGTTGTTAGACAGCGAATAGTTGAATTGGCCCATAACGGGGTCAGACCCTGTGATATAAGTCGACAGCTTCGAGTATCACATGGTTGTGTATCCAAAATTCTGGGAAGGTAAATATGATAACCTTTTCAATCAACTTCGATTTCAATATGGAATATCTTTCTTACTTGAGAACTTTGGTCAACTTTTCTTTCGATATTAAGTTATCCATATTCCTTTGAATGGGGAAAAGTTTCCCATCTGATTTTTCAAGTTTCGCTTTGTCTTAGAGTTCGAAGTTTTCATTTTATTTCTAATCATGAACTGAATTTTCATGAATTTTTTTCTCTCTTTCGTTCTCATCTTTTCATATCAACTTTTCCTCTGTCAGTTTATCACTTGATTTATATGCAATTGCGCAGTTACATCATCATTTTCTGTCTCTTTCATCATCATCTTGTTGTTGTTCATTTGGTGGAAGATGAAGAGAAGGAAAAATCTTCATTGAATATTATAGGATAAAGATGCAGAGAGTGAGAGAGAGAGAGAGAGAGATGATGATGATGATGATGAAAAAAGGCGGAAGAAAAGGTTAGATTCTTGTTATAGGTTGAAGAGGTTCATCATCAGATAGGAACTTTTTGTTCATCACCAAGAATCATCATGGTAGCTAATGAATAGATGGAGAGATCGAAAAAAAATCGCAGGAAAAAAATTCTAATCCCGAGAATGTGAATCAATGATCAACTAATTTTTTGTGTTTATTTGCTTCTTTATGTGTTAACCATGTTAATAGAATTGAAAATGTATGAATAAACAATGGAAAGACTAACATTGAGATTCATTGTTCATTTTGAGATAATTCTGGTTACCAGGTAACATGGTGAAAAACAACAACAACGATTATGATTTAATGATAATATATCATAACTGTAACTGTTTTTAATCATCTGTTAATTGAACTGGATAATATGTATTTGTTATGATTGATACGCATCCCCCAGTCTCTTTCATAGAGAGAGAGAGATAGAGAGTAAAATTTCATCTCTTTCTTTTCCTCTTTCCTATTCTTTGGTTCGTAAAAAAACGTTCTTCCGCTACGCCGATTCTCACTCACCCCGAACATCTAACGTCAAGGTCGTCCCTTCATCAACGTTTTCATCACCATAGAAGTGAGAGAGAGAGAGATGATGATGATGAAGATGCGAAATAAAATGAATGTGTGAAAGCATATCAGTCGCTCCTAATTTTTTTATCGGTTCATCGCTGCATGGAAAAGGGAAAGTGACCTAGTGGTAACATTTTACATAGAAGAGAGTTAATCGAGCTTAACCAAATGACTCCTAAGAGGTGAGAGAGAGAGAGAGAGAGAGAGAGAGTAACCAGTGGTCAGTATAATAATCATATGCATCCAAGCTTGAGGATAGAAAACCTTGAAACTGAAGATTGATCAGTTTTTGTGGAGCGAAAAAAGAAAGAGTAAAAAGAAAGTGAAATCTGAGTAAATTCTGAATGAAAAATTTTACTCAGATATTTAACCCTGAATATTGATGGCCAATGATGCATGGTCAACGTGGTTATCTCTCAATATTACAGTTATATATAAAATATGATTGCAATGTTATTGATTGGAAAAAGTTCTTGAAGTATAAATCAACACTAGATCATGAAGAAATCGTAGACTTAGAGATTAAGAAGTAGATGAAATTCATGAAAAGTTCTGATGGCGATGAAGTCGTTAAATTCCTGGTTCTCTCTCTCTCTCTCTCTCTCTCTCTCTCTCTCTCTGTGATTATTTTCAGATTTCAGGTTTATCTTGATGATTGTAAGTGAGAAAGAGAGAAAAAGAGATGAAATTTGTTCCAAAATAGTTTCATGATTCATGAATTAAACCCTAATCTTGCACCAGATCAGTCAACCAGGAATGTTATTCACACTGCAATGCACCATTGCTGCCTCCTGGTCACATGACCATAGCCGTCTGAGTAAAATGTATAGCAAGTGGAAAAGTGAGTTATCTGTGAACCATGAACAAGTTCAGTTAACATTATTCAGGGGAATGAGAGTTAGAGAGAGATCATCCTGATGATAGAAGAGGAAAAAGGAGTGAAAGTGAGATTCATTTCCAATTGGATCCACATGAATGTATCCAGCTGAGATTTGAAATCTTTGTAATAGATTCGGTGTCTATGGAATGAGAGAGAGAGAGAGTGAGTGAAAAATTCTGTGAATTCTGGATTCGTCTGTTTATATTCATGAATCATCAATAAAGAAAAACTAAACCTACGATTACAACGAAATCTTTTATTCGTTATCATTTAACCAGCCAGCGAAATCAAACAAAATAAAAACGATTCATTTGTTATCAAAATTCATTATTCATTTACCTTCATGATGGAAATTAAATTTAGAAACAAAAAAAAAGTTTCGCTTTCCTTTTTCGTTGGAAATATTCAGGTTATTTTGATGAACTTTTAGCATCCTCATCTTTCATCTTCTTCTCCATCCTTAAGTCGGTTCACTTTGTTTTCGCACAAATAACATTCTAATTTTGTAGAAAGAGAGAAACAAGATAAAGATGATTAGTGAAAAGATGAAGATAATGATGATGAACAAGTCAAAGATGATGTTCTGTTCACTGTAATTTAAATCTGTTGATGAAGATGAGGATGATAGAGAGAGAAAGATGTGAGAGCCCTTTTGTCCGTTTGTAATAAGTGACCTAAAAGGTATCTTGTGTCAAAGTGTATCAATGACACAGAAAAAAAGGAGATACAAAAATCAAGTCAAGTATCATCATCACCATCCTCCATCTTTATTTTTATATATTCATGATGATAATCATCTTCATCTCTTTACAATCAATGGACTTGATACAACTTTATCATCCATCCAAATCGTACTAACACCGGAAGAAGAGGAAGAAGAAGCAAAAAAAAACGAGAAAGAGAGAGAGAGAAAATGATTATTTACGTAAAAGAAAACAGAAATAAAGAGAAAATCATCATCATCATCTTCTTTTTCTTCTTCCATCTTCATCCTGTTCAAATGAAATAGAAAACAAGTAAATTCGAGCGAAGTTTTCCATTCGAAAGTTATTCCATAACAATCTCATGTACATTCAGCTGATTCCAAGTTATAACTAATCTTAATCTCTCATTGAACAGATATTATGAAACAGGTTCAATCAAACCTGGGGTCATCGGCGGTTCTAAGCCCAAAGTAGCCACACCTAAAGTGGTTGATGCAATTGCAAATTACAAGAAACAAAATCCAACAATGTTTGCCTGGGAGATACGAGATCGCCTATTGTCTGATGGTATTTGCGATAATGATAATATACCTTCAGTTTCATCCATAAACAGGTAAGAACTCAGCATCATGCTCTCAATGAGTATCAACATGTATCAGAATATGATAAGGGGAGAAAGAGAAAACTTAATCTACAATCAGAATGGTTGTCCTTTAAATTGAATGTTAATCAATTTCCATCATCATCATCATCATCTCTAAATAAAAATAGTCTCTAATGGTTGAAGAGGATTAAAGTTAGTGATCAATTGAGAATCAGCAATTAGAGGTATCATCTGTTATCATCATCATTATCATCATCCTAGATCAATGCAATTACAAGAATAACCATTTTATCAAAAGATGAAAGAGTCAGATAAAATTGATTGGAATATAATTCAACAGGGAATTCAAAGTTACAAGGTGACTCTATACAGAATATACTATATCTATGATGATGATAATATAATTCCCTCTCTCTCTCTCTCCAACCCACCCCACTCTTCATCAATTTCATCTTGTCTCCTACACCCCAATACATATCTCTCTCTCTCTCTCTCTCTCTCTCTCTGCCCTTTACCCCTTGCGGATAAAAATCTTGTTACATGTTACTTGATAATGTAATCATCATAATCTGTTATCATCACAATTGACAATCAAAATCTAACACTTAATTCAATTGATTATCAACAATAAACAACCAGAGAGGGAAAAAAATAACAGATAAAAAGTTCTGATAACAAATTAAGTTTCAATATCTTCCTGATTTGTTGATATTAATTTCCAATGGAAAGTGAATACAATCAGTTGATAACATGATAAAAATTGAACAAATATTTAAGCCAATTGATTAACTAATTTGTCAATCGTAAACAGTTACAATTATTGTCACTTACCCAACGAGTAGAAATAGAAAACAAATTCTTAATTGTTATTTAGATTGAAAAAGATAATCTCATATTTACCTTGATCCATTATTCTAATCTCATTTTATTTCACATTTTTCCATATTCTTTTTTCTGGTCTTCATTTCCGTTTCCAGAATTGTCCGTAATAAAGCAGCAGAAAAGGCAAAACACTGTATGAACAATTCTAGTAACAATTTGAACAACAATCACAATTCAAATAGCAATCAAAACACCAATTCAGCTATTTCACCCAATTCCCATTCTCAACCTCATAATGTAACCTCCGTAATTGTAAATGGAGCCCAACAGCAATCACAATCAGCCCAATCAACACCAACCTCAGCAACTTATTCAATTAACGGTATTTTGGGTATTGAAGAGCAGCAAAGGCACCAGAAGAGGAAAAATCCATCACCCAATGAGAATCATATTGAAGGTAAGTCCAGAATTCAAATACATCAACAAATGACCATCACAACCATTGAAACATTATCATGAAAACAAACAAACAAACAAAAAGGACTTAATGATTTACCAAATTGAATCTACATTCAATGTGTCTTGATGATAATTTAATCATCATCATCATCATCAGCAAGGGTATGATAATAATCTAAGTGCACTTACTTTCAATTATCATTAAGCTTCATGTTATCTTGTGATAACCTTAATCTGTCCACCATTATTATCATTGACCATCAGGCTTACAGAGTTAACTTGGAATCTGATGTTTCTGTTTTTTTTTTGCTTCTCCATCCTCATCAATTTGAGAGAGAAAGAGAGACTCAATTGATGGAAACCATTGCTTTTTATGATATTCTTTTAGGTGGATCTCTCTTTTTTGCCTCTTCCCCTGTTCATTGTTCACCTTGGAAAAAGGAAGAAGGTGGAAAAGAGAGAGAGAGAGAGTGGAAAATATTTTCCACTTCCTCTGGAGATTCAATTCCATTCAGTTTATTAGAATTGTTTTCCATTCTCTACTTCTGTAGATACAACAGAAAGAAACACTCATAATTGTATCATCGCCTTTACGAGTTTTTCATCATCAAATTGTTGTTTTCTGCATTTTAGTTATCAATTAAATCTTAGGTGTTTATCATCACAGGAAAAACTTTTCTCTCAAATTATCTATTTAATCTTGACCATCATCACCATCACAGATTAATGAGGTGGATAGTAAACAAAAAAAAACTCAAGATTACACTTTTACATTTCTTAATTATGACCAAATGATTTGCAATTTAGGTGGAAATGTTTATTGTTATTCACATTTTAACAGATTTCATGGTTGTTGATATTATGCATTTACCTTTGGTATCTTTGCAATTATAACAACACACAATTGCATCAATTTGCCCTCAGGCCATAAAAATTCATAGACAGAGAGTCAAGAGTCAATTTTGTAAAGGAAGACAAAAGTTAAACGTTACAATAGAAATGAAAAGCAATAGTATTTGAATTGTTAGAAGTCAGTTGTGGCTTCTACCACCACCACCACCACCACTACCACCTCTAAAATCCTCGTTTCCATCATCATCATCATCATCATTTCTCTTTCTTCCCTCCAAACAAAAAAGCTTTATGATGAAGATGATGATGACAAAAACGCTTTTGACTTTCTCTGTCTTTTTAACCCAACAGTATAATTCAAACTCTCCACCAATCGAATGTCCTTTTCCCGCTCTCATCATCACTTTCAATTGTTCACAATTTACACCTTTATCATCTTACAAACGTCTCACTCTCATCATCATCATCATCATCTCCATTCAAATAATCATCATTGTAATCATAACCATATAACAACAATAATATACATCAGCTCATTACAAATGTTAATCTTTCAATATCAATGATAAAGTTTAAATAGTAACACCGATCAAGATGATTAGCTTTTACTAAGATTTATCAAATGACAATTAAACCAATTAAATGGTCAGTTAAGGGTCAGTTTTGTTACTTACATTAAAAAGCAGTGAAAAAAAAACTTTAACAAGATAAACTTTATTTATAACATGCAAACTTTTAGTTACATGAGATGAGGATTTTTTTACCACCGCGTCCATTAAATATCATCATCATTAAGGTTTAATTTGTTTTGGCATTAAAAAAAATAACATCAACTACTAATGATACATTAAGGATGACAAGATGAAGATAAAAGAGAAGATAATATTTTAATTTAGACAGAAAAATAGAAAGAGAAAGTCAAATTTGTCTTATATTCACAATTAGCTTGATGATGAGGCGACGAAACTTTTTCTTGTGGTTTTATCATCATCTTATCCTTAGGCTATTATAAGATGATGATGATGATTATGATGATAATGATTAAGACACAAGACAAGTTAATTATTTTGTAACAATATTATCATTAAGTTAATCTAATTATTATTATTTATTATTATCTTTGCACCTCATCAGTTAATTTGCTAAGTGTGAGTATCTTTAGATTAACATGAAGATGATGATTAACTTAGACAAAATGATTTAATTTGATTAGCTTAATTTGAATGATTGTGACAAATAGAAACAATCAAACAATTAATTGTCATCAATTTCAAAACTGTAAATTACAAACAATCAAAAAGATTTGATTTTATCTCTTAATTGTTATTATTATATTTACATACCAAGTAAATTTTTACCGTTACTTTTGTTCATTAATTATTACAATTAAACTGGTAATTAACCTTGGAAATAAGTTAATTTTTTATTATCCTGTTTAATTGTCAATTAAACCTTGATATTAATTAGTCTTTTTTTACCATTCTCAATTGTTAAATTGTTAATATCCTTAAATAATTTACTTTTATCTTGATTAAGGCAAAAAAAACAAAATTAACTTTGATTACAATTTGATTAGTTTTTAAACTGTTTCTTCCGGAATCAAACCATTGAGGTTGATTAACAAGCCAGATAATGATTATAACTGTCTAATGATTAACTTATGATTATCTTTGTTGTCAACACAATTTACTTAATCATTTGTGTGTATTAACTTACAAACATAATTTAATATATCAAATAGAGAGTCAATATTGAGATATAATCGGATTAGCGGTTAATCAATAGAAAGGGAGAGAGAGAGGGATGAAGTTAATCTTGGATTTAATTTGATTACAATCAAATTAATAGATAAATAATATTTTCCCCAAGTTAATCAAAGTGGCTCACAAAAAGTGAGTGAAAATCCAACTGTTTAAAATGATGAGGATGCTTTTTAATTGTAGGAGGAGGAAGAGGAAACAGAAATGTTTTTACAATGAAAAGAAAATGGAAGAAAATTTTCAAATTGTATTGTTAAAAATACTATACAATTGATGATGAAAACCTATTCATCTTACATCTTCATCTTCATCTTCATCTTCATCATCATCACCACCACCCACTTCCTAATCCTCCACATCATCAACCCACCGAGTCCCTCAATGTCCCAGCATGAGTGCTCATTGTTACGATTGTGAAAAGTTTTTTTCAACAGAAAAAAAAAATCTCAATCAATTTATACAAAATCCAATGGAAAAGAAAAGTTAATTGTTATCTAGTTAATTGTTAATTCCAATGGAATATCAATTTAATCACTTAAACAATCAACAAACAAAAGGGCAGAGGTTAAATGTAATCAACTCCCAAGCAATCAAAACACATACACACACTCATTCACTTACCTTAATTGTTTATATTGTTACACAAATTAACTGATGATTATATTTGATTTGAGGTTTAATTTTACCCAAATGAGGATAATCAAGGATCATCATTTGTCTGTGTTATATATTATTGATTATCTCATTGTGATTTAAATTGATTTTCAAACACTCTCTCACTTTAATAACAGTAAATTGTTAGCGTGATGGTTAATTTTTACCACCATAGGAACCATAGAGATCGTGACTTGTGAATATTATCATTTTCTTGTTAACCATTAACGTGATTCCATGTTATCTGTTACCATGATTATCATTTGATTACATGGGTTTCACAATTAATTTTTTACCTTTACAATTGATTATTTATTGATGATTAACTTATTAATGTTCATATATCATATAAACAAATCGTTACCATTTAATAGTTGATCTCAATCTCAGTTAATTGTTTACAGGCAAAAGTTTAGGATTATCAGATTATCTTCATCTTCATCTTGATTCTGGTGATGGGAGTGGATAGAGGGTTGATCAACAAAGAGGCGGATGATGATGAAGATGATGAAGATGATGAAGATAATGATGATAACCTCTTGATAATTTAAGGTCACACTGATTGTAAGTAAAGTTTTCCCGCTGAGATTAATATTGACTTATCAAAAGGACTCTTATATTATAATAGGTTAGGACAATTTTCAGCGGAAATTACGATTGGTGACTTGAAAAAGATGATTATTATTATTTAACTGTGTTTATCATCATCATCATCATTATTATCATCATTTTCCTCCCACTTCACAGGGAATCTTCATCTTCCTTTATCTTCATTTCTCACTCTCTTGAAACTCACTACATGAAGTCTCGAGTATTGTTATATTGCTCATTTAAGGAGGGCGATAAAAAAAGTTCTGATTCTTTTTTATTACTCATGATGATGATGATGATGATGATGTTCATCATTATCAGATGAAGTTCATTGGGCGAGACTTTATTTTTAAAGATTTTCGATTGAATTGAAATTTTGTTTAGACAAAAAAAATTACATTCTCTCGATATTTATTATTATATAAGAAAGAAAGAAACAAAAAAAAGGGTAAAATAATTTCCAGAACTCTGAGCATTCTCACTTAGTAGATATCAGAATGTTTCATAGAGAATTTATTTCAACTTATATTATATCTTTCATCCTATTGGTTCATCACCACTGGGAGTGCCTTTGATAAGAGAAGAGGAGAAAAAAAAAGAAGATGAAGAAAAAAAGTCTTTGTAATCAACTCTTTCCAGCATCATCATCATTATCATCCTCATCTTTTTTTTCTTGCTTCTTGTATCATCATCATCAGCAGCATTATCATCATGACTCCTCATGTGTATCTATAAAAAGGAAGATGAGTTATGTGTATTTATATGAACAGAAAAAAAGAGTAACATTATTGATCCATTTTCATATATACACTTTCAAATATCTCCCACCGACACTTCCTTTCATCCTCCTCCCACTCATCCTCATCTCTTACCTCTCTCTCTCTCTCACTAACCCACCCCACCTTCATCTTCATCTTCCTCTTTATGAACTTGTTATTCTTTCAAATTCTTTCATAGACAAAAAAATAAATCGATATTATTGATTCTTTCTCCTTCTCATAAAACCTCTCTCTCCATATTCATGATAATCTCAGGGAGAAGGAAAGAGAAACTAAATTAATTCCATCATTCCAACAATTAAATGAACTATTTTAGATAAGACCATTTAATCAACATGCAATTAACTTTACAATGCCTTTGATTTCATGATAATCGTTTCAATATTTTCCACGGAGAAATCAAATTACTAATCTGTTATCCATTTCTGACCAATTTTCACCATAGATTTTAAGACCGAGTCATTTAAAACTGAACCTTCAGTCCCATCAAATGCCAGTAATAACCGAACCACAACTTCACCCAGTTCAATACAAAATGGTGTCGATAATGATTCTAAAGCACCCAAAAGACCTCGACTTTCAAATAACAATCAGCAATATAATGGGTAAGCCTTTTAATCAATTTAAATTGTTCACAATTCTAATCAATCAACCTTTTCCTATTCCTCAGCCTCCATGGTAACAATGATCTCTATAGCGTTTGGAATAGCGGAGTTAATCCAACCTCGGGCTACACCTTGATAACTGAAAATAGTGATCCCTCCATAGGTCAAAGTCACCCCACTCATCAACAACCCCAACAACCCCAACAACAACAACAGCAACATTATGAAATAACAACTTTATACACTCCACCAACATCAGCCTCTTCATTGGGTAAGAATCACCATCATCAATATCACAATATTATCCCTTTTGAATACGAAACGATTCCCGTTCACTTTTTTTTATATAATTGACCTTTTCTAATCGATTTGTTTCTCGTCCCTTTTCAATGTCCAATTTCAGGTTCGACCTCAGTGACCCCTCCCAATGCAACCCCTGCAGTACCAAGCGAGTATTATGCCACATATCATCAAGCAGCCTATGCATACCCCAACTACACCTACAATCAACCTACTCCCGTTCAACCAATTTCGGCTCAAAATAATGCTCAGGATTTGTACCAGAATAATATTCCCATCATGCCCTTTTTCCAATGACAATTAACTCAGTAATTAATTAACAATTGTAATCAATCCAAATCAAATCTTATCTCTCATCTTTTTACCTCATCTTTATAAATATTATATAAATCTTATCATTATCATCGGATATCAACATCAACACCATCACAACAACAGCAACACCTACACTTAGTGTAATTGATAATTAATTGATTGATTATCGATTGTGAATCTTGAAAAAACAAAACAAAACAATCAACTGGTCAGAAAAATTTTTTTTTCTTCTTCTTCTTCATCAAAACAATTCTTCAAGATACCAAATTGACCACACTGACCATTCAAAAACCTTTTTCCCACTGACTGATTACTCAATTAACGATGCTAATGATTTAATGATAATTTAATTGAGATGGTAAAATGATGAATGATTAAGTAAATTGTAATCTATTAATTTTCGCACAACAATCAACTTCCAACACCAAAAAAAAAATCAACAACAATTATATAAACAAAAAACAACCAAACCCATAAACACAAAACACTTTAATTACAACAATTAACTCTCGAAAATTAAAACTTATATATAAACAATTAAAAAACGATTTTTTCCCTGGGGCAAAATGAAACAAAAGTGAAGATAATTAATATTTTATTCCTTCAATCAAATGGGTGTTCAATTGTTCAACTCTCTCTCTCTCTCACTCTCTCTTTATTTCCGTTTCCTCTCCTTCCAATTTAATTATTATTACCTGATTATTACACCTTAATTATTATTATCTGCTCACTCTCTGAGTCTCTCTCTCTCTTACACTTTGATAATGTCTCTCTCCCCCTACCACACCCACTACCTCCCACTTATAAGATGTAATATATAATATTTATCATTAATCTCATCGTTTTTTTTTGCTGCAAGAGATAAAGAAATAAATTAAATGTTATTGAATAAATTGACTTCCGTGTTTATTTTTTATCAATTTGATTGTTTATCAGCAATTTGATGATTTAAAGATGATAATCAATTTTGATTTGCCTCCATGAACTTGAATATGTTTTGATTAATTGATTAATTTGGTTCATTGGTTCGTGAAATCAATTGTGAACCTTGTTGATTGCTGGTGTTGATGTGTGAATGTGATTCCAATTTGATGATCATTGTGTGTAGTCTGTTGATTGTTGATAAGATGATGGTGATGATTAGTTAATTGTTTTGATTGTGTAGCAACAAAAAAAAACCCCGAAATCTAAATGAATCAATTTTTTCATTCTCCATTTTTACACAATTGTGTCTCTGCAATTTAACCGATAATCAAGTGATCCGATTAATTTATGCAAATTCAATCTCCATCTTGATTACGTGGCGGGTTTTTGGTTATCATTTCCCTCCGGTGGAAACATCAGAAACCTCATGCTCACCTTTTTCGGCTTCCAATCAGATTTAATCACAATCAAGATCGTTGTTGGAAAATTATTTCCAAAATTTCACTGCTAATCCATTGGTGGATTAAATTAACCAGAAGATTATGATTAATTGGATTACATATTCACTCACCTTTACTTTGAGTATTAAGTGACAATGTTGATTGATTGGTAAATCATTTTGAAAGTAACTGTTTATTGTGAACCCTTGGATTATTATTATATTTGAAACTACAGAATATCAAATGTATGTAATAGTTTTCAATGGTGATTATTAATATTTCAGTGATGAAAAGGGAAGATTCAATGATGATAATGATCTTGTTGATGATGATAAAAGATGATAGGTTCTGGTATCTTTTGGGAGGTAATGTTATTGGTTTTGTTACTTGTTGGCTGTTATTACTTTCCCATCATCATCCTTTTGGATGTAAATCAATTTGAGATATAAAAGTAGTGGGAGTCAGATTATCCATCAGAATATGAGAGAGAAACTTCATCATCCATTTATCTTCCATGTTTTATCGTTTCATCTTCTCGAGGTTTTCAGTTTCTATCTAGTTTAAGGTAATGCAATTTACATGTAACTTCCTCATCTTCCGTTTCTTTTCCTCCTTTTCCTCCTTTTCATCCCACCTTCATCTTCCTCATCCTCATCCTCATCAGTGACTCTTTCAAATGATATTCATGTTATTACCATTAAGATAATTGAAACTAAATTAAACTCAGACATTGAAAATTTTGAACTTGAAATTTTATATTAATATGATTTTTCTTAGCTACTTGTTGATGAAACTCAATTAATTTACTTATTGTTGTTGATTAATTTGAGAATTTTAAATCAATGTTAAAGGTCAACATTTTCAATTTCTCTCTGGTAATTTATCATTATTCATCCTTTTACTTTCTTCCTGGTTTTGGATACAGATGAGTGAGATAGTCTTTCCATGTTTAGGTAAAATAGGTGTGTATGTCTAGTATATTGGTGTTGTGAATTGGGGTGAGGTGAACTGAGGTTAAAAAGGTCCAATGGTTACAGATAATTTGATACTCGGTCAACTACAATTTATGTAACATCTAAGCTTGGCTAACCTTGGATTTTATGGTTTCCTTGTTTCTAGGTTACTATTTCATTCATTTTCAATACGAATCTCTAGTTACCTGTAAACTTGAATATCTCCTCTTTCTCTCTCTCTTTTTCTGTTTCTCTCTCATTTGGTCTCACTTTCTCTCTGGTCTGTTACAGGTAACGGAATAATGAGGATGATGATGATTATTCACACTTTTATGGATATATTGCCATAGAGATAATATTATTATGTGGTTGATTGGTAGATGAATCAAGTGAACTGAATTAAAGTAGTGAATTTAGTGAAAAATTGTTTCAATGAATGAGTAAAGTTAGAAAAATGAATAGATTGATATTATATAATATAAATGAATGAATGAGTGAATGAATGAAAAATATTTGTAAGTAAATCTCAATCTCTTGTTATATTGATATGGTCATGGAGAGGTAATCTTGCAAACGAATGATCATCTTCACTTTTCATCTTTATCATCCATCGTCATCATCAATACCAACTTTACTTTCTCATCTTCTCTCTCTCTCTTTCTCCATCACTTCCACCCACATTTACATCATGTGTTCCAATTCTTCAGGTAAATTCAGGTATGATACAAACATAGAAACGCCAGAAAGTGAATCAAAAATAAAACGAGAATAACATACATTCATTATTCACCATGAAAATGATTGAATTTCACAGGAATCATCTGATCATTGACCAAACTTTTAAAACTCCAAACTCGAACATCAAGCCTCTTGTTTCCATAGAGATAATCATTCGAGTTCAGAAACATTTATATTATATAGTTTTCTTTCTCGAAAATATATAACATAGAGAAAAGTCAATGACGATAATCTCATGGGAGTGACTGAATAATAATGATAATATTTTACCAGTTAAACAAGGAGGAGGATGAGGAAGATAAAAAGAGGACAGAAAAGATGAAATAGAAAGAAAAAGAAACTAACAATCAACTTAATGTTTTCATCAAACAAATTTCATGATTGGTGATTTACTTTCCCTTTAAACCTTCAGGTCATAGGTGAAGATTCATCAAAACTATCGAGAGCAAGAGATAAACTCACCTCTCACTCGACAAGAATCATTTATATTCATTTAAACTTCGGTGTGTTTTTTTTTCTCGACAAAAGATGATTTAAAATCCACTCCACCCTCGGATCAGTATTCAATTTGTGATGATGATGTTTCCACCTTGGGAGAATAAAAAAATGAAAATTCTAAAATAAAAATCATTTTTCACCTTTAATTCTCTGTAGAATTTTATTTTTATTTCTTTTCTAAAAAAAGTTCTATTTCTCTCTCTCTCTCTCTTGTTTCATCTTCACTAATAACAATCATAATCGTCACAGTTATCATCCGATAAGCAAGGAGAAGATGCTGATAATAATGATGCTGGAAGATGATGATGACTTTTTCGTGACAAATCTGAACATTAATATTATCGATATGGTTGAGAAAATTTTCCATTTTCATCCTCATCATGATGATGATAAAAAACAGAACTCGAAACTTTCAACTTTCAAAATCTTCATCTTTATTTCTGATTAAATGTAAATCCATTGATTATCAAATGATATTAATCAATTCCGACGTAACTAATGAATAGTTTAAATGAGTAATAAGCAAAAATGATTAGTTAATCATTTCCATATACACTACTAGTATCAAGTTGATATTGTAATGATAATCGTAATGGTTGGTAATCTATTAACAATCAACTAATTCAGTTATTAATATTAATGATAAATATATAACTTTTTTTTTCATTAGAATCCATTTAATCATTGATTATCATTAACGATAATAAAGTTTTTCATCAATGACAATTGTTTATTGTTACTGATTGAAAGGTTTGCTTTATTTTTCTGGTGATTAATTTAACAATCAATTAATTGGGAAGGTTATTTTTAGGATAAAAACAATTAGCAAACTAACAATCTAATTAAATCAGTAATAATAACGATAATAAAAAAAACTGTCAACTTGTTTTTCCTGACAATCGTAGGTCCATAAAGCTCAAGGTAAATTTAAGATAATAAAGTTTTACAAGGTAAGATAATCAACTTTTGTCACCAAGGTTGTCACGATATTAGCATTCAAATTATGTTGTAATTTCTCAGGTGAATATGAGAAAGATGAAGATGATAATGAGTGAGAGAGAGAGAGGCAAAGATGATGATAATGACTGAGATGAGGAAACGGTTAATTATGATTGAGAAAATTGTAATTTTCTAATGTACTTTACCTTTAATCTTGTTTCTGTAGATGAACAAGGTGAAACATTGAATATTAAGAAAGATGATAATGAGAAGGAGGAAGAAAAGAGGAAGATGAAGATGAAAACTGGAAATATTAATATAATGAGAAGATGAAGATGAGAGAGATGACAATTTATTATTACCTTTCAGATGCTATCACTGTACCATGAAGCTCAGGTAGATTATGATGATGATTCTGTGACCCGAAAAGGACACGAACATTTTAATTTTGTCTCTCTCTCTCTTTCTCTCATTCACCTCCTCCTCCTCCTCTTTGCCACTCTCCTTTTCCCTCCACGGAGACACTCTTGCCCTGAGTATATGACTAACAATTGATACTAATTTACAATTTTCCAATTTGATTGTTGTTTCCATCTATTAATTTAACCTTAATTGCAATTGATTATCTCCAAATCTCAAGAGTTAAATCAATTTAACTTTCTTAATCTGTTTCCGTGTAACTCATTAAATCTCAATGAACAATTTGTGATTATTGAAGGTAGATTAATGTAGATAAAGGTCATTGTGATTGTTCAATCAATTATCTTGGATTTAATTAATTCCTCTAGAGGTCAATTTACTTGATCTCAGGGTCAGTTGCGATAGGTTTCACCCTTTAAAAGTATTCATACTGACAACAATTTAGCATTTGATTTATATAAAACTTTAATGATACAATTAATGAATCAATAGCAATGGTCAGTATATATAAAGTAAATGTCCAGTTAAAATGAAAAGTTTTGATAAATTGTAGCAAAAAAGTAAACGATTGCAATGATAAAAAGCACAGGAAATGATTGAAACGTTATTGCATTTTTATTAACCCCGAGGGTATGATAACAATACAGATTGATAATAAATGGTGATGATAAATCAATTGAACAATCAAAGAAAAAGAAACAAAATAAAAAGAGATTAGTATAAATCTTATCCTAAATCGCAATTTAATTGTGGATAATTTTTCAGTGAATGGGAATGTTAACAGAAAAGTTCATGAAACCAATCAGAATCTAGAGTAATCTGTTCATGTAGAATTCAAATGAAGGTGTATCAAGGTGCTGTCTCAGCACGATAAGGTTACAAATTTTTTCTCGTTTCAGTTGATTCATATTCTAATTCAAAAAAAAACAGTAACATGATACACTGAGATGATGATGATGATGATGATGATGAGATAATAAA